AAACATTTAATTGTGTAGTTATTGCCACTATATTTTTTGTTACTAGCTGGCGTTTTCTTCGCCAGAGAAAATGTGTGCACATTTTGATGATTCCGGTTAAAAATGATTGTTATATTTCCAGTTACTCAGTGTAAGAAAATTTCGCAAAAATATTTGCGAAGAAAATATCCCACCTTTTCCACGTATACAAAAGAACATTCGATTCAACGCACGTTCAAAGACTGTAGAGGACTATATATAAACATGAGTAGTATGTATTTGAATCCGTAAAATTATGTTAGTTAATAACACAACATAAACTTGTGCAGCATCTTATTCCCATGCGAATACTACTCAGTCGATTAATCGTCAAAACTGTTCAGCTAAGCCATTTGGGCCGGGAGGGAAATAGTTATTTTTACAGTTGTTTAAAAGCAGTGTTAATAAGCTGGGGTAGTTTCCGAATTATATCACGATTTTACATGCATGTATGTACAAAGGCAGGAATTATTTGTTACGTACCTCTGTCTGGTGAAGATCCCTTAAAAATTTTTCGAGTTGAAAATCCTCCAATATACTAAGTAACGACAAATAATCTGTTTACGTCGGGAAACTTTCTTCATATCGAAACATTCCTTGATTTAGTATACCTTCGAATAGCAATGCCATGATTGTTTAAACGTACGACGCTGAAACTTGAGAGCTCTTTATTAATAAAGTTAACAATTACAAATACTTAACTATGAGGCCTCACTGGGGCTCACGATCTCGTTTTTGAGCCATTCCTTAATGGCGCTGCGCGTTCGTGACGTCACGAAATTTTGATCCCCTAGAGCGACAAGGACAAACAAACAGGCTTCTCGAGTAAATGAATATGGGCGGTGATGCGCCCATCTGTAGTTCAAACGCCTCCAAAGCTCGTATTCAAAATCAAAATGATGGTGTTTCTGGCTCAAAGCTCGAGCAAGATCAAGAGAACTATATAAACACACAATTGAAGCGTTGGTTAAAGTGTAGAGGCTTCAAATTAAGTGGAAAACGAGCAGACCTCATCGCACGTGTTCGTGACTACCTCAAGTCGGGAAAACATTATGTACTTGATTCAAGTATAGATGATGAGAAATGGCTTTAGGCGAAGATACTAAAGGAAAGTAAAGTCCATCTCGTGAAACTTAAGGATCTAACATTTCAATGTAAAAAGGGGGTTGACAGGCCTACACGACTCCCCAGCGCGTGTTTAGANCTGTCAAGACCTCGGGCCGATATTCTCCCAGTTCGGCCCTCGCGCTTGGTTATAAGTTATATATATAAACTATTTCGCCATTTCTGTAAGCTCTGGCAATCACAACAATAACAAACGCGCGTGTTGCATCCTGGTAGTCAGTTTTTTTTTTTCCCCGGAGAGTGCGCGAAATAGCTTTCCACCCCTTGCTGGAAAGCGTTTACTAAACAGGTGAGGCGCACGTGGATTGTAAGTTCCGTATTGAAGTTATTCACCATGGGTTTTGCGAAGACTTTCCTTTTTTTCTTCAACTTTATCTACCTGGTAAGTATCGCGATGAACAGCTAAAAATAACTAAGCATTAACTGTTCGGGCACAAATATGTTTGACTGGTGAGGTATGGTGAAGAAGTACCTTTCACAGGCACTGAGACTTAGCTCAGTGAGCTGTAAACGTTAATCGCAATTATACAGTTGAATGCCTAATATCAGAAGCTAGATTTTATTCGCATGGAACCCGAGTGCTGGCTTTTACATAATAAATTCGGGTAGAACAAGATTTGCTTTCTACTTATAAGGGAGCTCTCAGCTTTAGCTTTTCCTGTTCTTACCATTCCAAGTGTTTATCATTAAGCTACATTAGTCAGCAATACCTAGGTTTTAATTACAGTAACTGTTTATCTTCATAATGAAATACTGATGCCTAGCACTCCACCAGTATGCCAAGTCTGTTACTGAATTAACTGCTTTACCGTTGACATGTCATGATCTTTATGGAGATCCATCAGTCGAGATAAAGTCAGCTGGTTGACCGGCCAGAAGACTAACCAGAAGTTGACAATGGACCAAATTGAATCGATGTTTATATCAGTCATTCACTGATGAATTTACAGAAAATACCCATGGAGCCAGATATCTACATGAAATTGTCATCAGGACAGAAAACAATTCAATTTACGAGCACATGCATTACATTAGGCACATCATTACCAGCCACTGTTCGGGAACCGGAGCAATAGAGACCTTAAGAAACCACGACGGCGACGCCAAGGAAGACTTCGATTAAAAAATGAATTTCTACTCTTTTGTTAGAATTTCAAAAATGGCTGCAGGAGCTTACTGTCTCATTAAGAACGCCACAACTCAACTTCAGCATGACGCATAAAGTAGCCGTTGAGTTCCAATGGAAAATAAAATAATTTGCTGTCGCTTTAGGTTTGTNAAAAGTATTCAATGCATCAGGCTCGTATTCATTGGCTGAGTTAATCGTACTTTGACCTTTCGATATTCAGAACTGATTTATTTTTAGCTCCATCAGAAACTGAATTGCTTATGCTAATGAGGCAAATATTGTAAACAAGGATTCCCCCATAGTAAACATGATTCAGCTTAGTTAGTAACGAAAGTACGTGAGTATGTTACCTGTTGCAACATTTTTTCAGGGTGTATCTGGTGCTATCATTTATTTAGCTGTATGGCTAATTAAAAAGGATGGCCACATTACAAAGATTACAACTGATGAGTACATTCTGGTCCCATGTGTAATCCTAGTTGGAATAGGTGTCCTGACCTTTATTACTGCCTTGTTTGGTTGCTGTGGAACATGCCAAGAGAACAAATGCTGTCTTTCCACAGTAAGACCTTTATTAACTTAACATGTAATCACACTGCATTTATTAAGAGACAAAATTAGTAATTATTTTGATATAACAACAATTCAATTTTGATTAAGGTAGATCCTAAATTTCTACCACATGTGGAATACAACAGATTTATGGATATATTTACCATGGGTTGTACCACAGACTTTCTACCTCTGCATTCAGATACCTTACTAACTGAATTATAAAGAACATTTCATTGAGCAAGGCCATGCATTAGCATTATTATCTGGCCAGCTTCCTGCATTTTGCCAGGATCAGCAATGTCAAGAGCATTATGTGTACTTCACAGAAGGTTGTTTATTCTTGGTAGGGAATATTTATTTTACTGTAGAATTATAATATTTTATCAAACAAGAAGTTTTTCAATTTAAATTACAACTTGTCCATTGTTTTGGAGACTTATGCAAAATCTACAGAGCATATAAAAATTAAATTCAGTTTCAAGAAATTATTAAGAGACATTAGGATGTTATGACATGAGTGAGTGTATGATCTATAATCATCTTGCAGTTCTTTGCATTACTCCTCATTGTATTTGCACTGGAGATCGTAGCAGGTGTCTTAGGATTTGTCTACAAGAGTGAGGTAAATTGTTTTGAGTTTATACAGTCACATGATTTTCCACTGCATTAATTGCATTGCAGACGTTAAACAGCATAGCTGCCACTTAATCTTGATGTGAAATTGTGTGAAGAAAGGTTGGGATTAATTGTTTATGGACTATTAAATCTGAGCTGAGGCAAACATTTACATTAAAAAAATTTAAAAAGATGTATCCTGAGTGAAAACTTATACAGTGAATAAACTACAGACAATACTATAATAGTGAAACATTTCACCAGAGTGTGCCAATTTTCACTGCTAAATGTTGCCATGCTGAGTTGATGAAAATTCTTAGTTTGTTTTTGTTTCTTCAAGCAACACACTCCATTGAAAACATTCAGCAGTGTTATATGTAAATTCTCCAGTAACAAAAGGTTAAGTTCCCTTGCGACAGTGATGGATTCCTCTTAACTTGGCTGCTACAGCAACTCCCTTAAATTCCTTACATTCCATGAATTCCACAACCATCAATTTAAATCTGATATTTTCAGAATCTATCATGAATTCTGTAGTGTCTCTGAAAATCTACGTTCTTTTCAAAGTGGAGCTTAAAATGGCCAAATTGACCTCTGCTACTATTTATTAACAAGTTGGTGGCATTGATCCACTCATTTTTTTCTCCGTCTTAAGGCTAAAAGCTTTGTGGAGGATGGTTTCCAGGATGCAATCAAGAATTATGATGATAAAGACACAACTTTAGATAAAGCTGTAGATGGTCTCCAGGAAAATGTTAGTTTATTTTCTTTTTACTCTATGTTATTCCAGTAGAACTGAATCGTATTATGCAAGGAAACTAGTTTCAATGGTCAGAATCTTTTTTTGCCCCAACAGAACAATTAACCCTTAATTGCTGGAATTAACAATTCAAATTTAGTGAAAACTTACTCATACACTGTGTTAAATTACAAAAAAATAATTGTAAAAATAATAATCTGTCGGAAACTTAAGCTCTTGCCTTAGTAAGTTTTCACGTAACCAAAGCACGTCAACTTTGGTTTCTGTATGGATCCATACATGGTCCTTTTTTTGTCCATTTGAGTCATTATTATTATGGGAAAAATAAACTGGGAACTCAGTTACAAGTTTCACTGAATTTGCAGATAGAAATTTAGGAAAAAACATGTATATTTTGGACTAGTCTGGACAATGAAGAAAGTATTATTTATTGAATATCTAAGAACCATTTTGGTTGACAGTGTCTTACTCCAAGGATCTCAGTGTACAGCATTTTTAACACCACTGAATGTTTATGTTTCAAAGCTGAAATGTTGTGGCATCAGTGACCCTACTGATTGGCATCCATATGCTGTGAAGCACGATGGTCGCTATCCTGATTCTTGCTGTTCCCAAGGAGCATTGACTTGTAAACCAAGGAATGCTTACTCCAAAGTATGGTACCAGCAAATTATATTTTTTTAAATTTATTTTCATTCATTTTTACACAGTATAAAAATAATGTAACTTATTGAACATAAAGACAAATACCTGGTCTCTATCCACCTTCAAACAACCACCAAGGATGCAATATTTATACAACCTATGAATGTACCTACAAAGTAGATAGAATGGGTAAACTATAACAGTCAGAGTGACTTGTATTGATATGGCCAGCTCTTTCAGCTTCAATTGCAAAATGAAAACTCACTATTGAATACCACTGATGATCTTATAACCCCTTGTGGTGTGTAGGTGTAGTGGGGACCTCGTCAATTTATATTTAGTGAACACCATATTATGTATCAACTCCTCTGATTGAGAACCTACAAAATAAATTGAAAACTGATACAGGGTTTTTAACTGAAAAGCTACCTAGCCTATTGTTGACAGGACAATGGTAGGCATGAGACCGAACCAGGCTTATTTATTTACTAGTAGTCACTGCTATATTCACAGCATTTATAATACAAATTATGTATATTGTATGTAGGGCTGCTTGAACAAATTGACTGAGGAGGTTAAAAAAAACCTTAGTTTCATTATGGGATCAGGTATTGGACTGGCTGTGCTTCAAGTAAGTACCACACATCAGCAGAACTGATATATTCAGACATTCAGTAGGAATATTTATTTGGAAATTAGAAAGTATCTAAAACTGAAATTTGATTTGGATTGAATTCTACATCGGCATATGATTCTCTTTAAAAAAAACTCTACATATTAGAGTCTGGAGAGTGCTATAAATTTTTTATTCCAAACAAAAGTCATATCCCCTTCCCTTCCATGCCAGGTACTTTTTTGGCAGAACCATAACCATTGTCTAACTTGTCCTCTGGATATGAACTCTTTTTAACTCCCAGAAGTGAATAACCTGTAACTTCTCCCTATCATATCCATACATGATGCAGCAAACAGGTGATGAAAATACTCAAACTAATCAGGTACAAGTTGTTACCTTGATTGAACACCCAATTCTAGTAACCAATTTACAAGGAAATGTCTAGCTGTTAGAGAGGAGAATTTATAAGCAGATCTTGGAAGTTAAAGGGTTAAAGTTATGTTTCACTCCTCATTTCAAACTCTTAATGTTAATTATCAACCCAGTAATGCATGGCTGGATGAAGATAAAAATAATTTCCTTTTACTTTCCTTGAATCTGTGGTTGGAGTTTGAGCCTTTTTTATTTTGTCAATCTTTCATGCCAGTACAATTAAATCAAGTCCTTTGTTCATTAAATGTGATATGTTTATTCTGCTGACTTTTAGCATAACTCTGACGTGTGAAAAGCTTGAGTTTGTAACTCACTGTCAGTTACTTTGTTGCTTGATTTCTAAGAGCTGCTTCAATTTTTTTTTTTTTTAAATGGAGCAATTTATTCAATTTGAAGGTAAAAGAAGGTGACAAGTTTATTTTAATCATCCCTTTTATTAACAGCTGCTGGGAATGATTGGAGCATGTTACTTGATGTATAGTCCACGCTCCGGATATCTTGAACTGGAGGGTGGCACTACTCATTCCTTTGTTTAACCAAGCAAAGTTAAAGCTGTTGTTTTCTGTTTTGGTACTGTGGATAAGGATGTGAAGTATTATACAAGCAAGATTTAATTAGTATTTGGTTTGAATAAAAAGCTGCTTAAATCTCTGGACAAGTATACTGGAGGCTTCATATAATTATAGAGATCTGTTTTTGCACTTTGATGTGATAAATTGTTTTTCTGACAGGTATTCTGATTTGTTTTGAGTAACAATCTTGGTCAGTTTTTAATCTGCTATCAAATATGAATGCAATTGTTTTGTAATAGATATAGTGCCTTACGCAATCAAAATGTAGATTCTTTGTGTTAATTCAGAGGTCACCAACTTACTTGGTTTTAATTACCAGCGAGTATCTCTGAAACTGGGTGTATGACAGTACCAAAAGTAGCTAAGAATCACTATTCTACACCTAAGCACAGTATGAGTGCTATTATTTATGGTAGTCTGAGTGAATACAGGGATCAGCACATGTCAGAAAGGTTGGATGAAATCCACCCATTGGAGAGCAATTTTTTTTTCTTGGCTCCTTTTAACTCCTAGAAGTGTTAAGTGATTAATTTTGAATTCTCATAACAATTTTAAGGCATTCTAAAACAGAGAGGTCAGGAGAGTGAAAATAATTATCAACTAAGTGATACTGATACAACACCAGATGGTCAGGATGAACCATATATTATCTAAGCTTTCCAAGTTCACTCAATGTTTTAGTTGTGAGCACAGCCTTTAATTTGGATCCATGCCAATCGTCCAATCTAGACCATGAGCAATCCTTCTATTTTACCAAAATCTGTTATGCAAGTAAAAAACAAAACAATTGATGTTAGCATGCTGCACTGAACTATGGAAGTGAGGCACAAATTCGTCCCACTCCCAGAGTTCTGCTAAACAACCTTACCTCAATTTTTTTCTACTGTCTTATTTTTGACTCACAATAAACTTCACTAAAAAGGAGGGTCTGTTTCTGGTCTACTTCCAATCATGTAGTCAAGACAATATCAAAACAAGCTATGTTAGAACTAACTGTGCACAGGCCTTGTTGTACAGAATTAACTATCAGCTAGAATCAAAGCTTATCCCCTTCTTAGATCTTATGCTCCCTAATGAGAACAGTTTAAAAGGTGCTGGGCCAATATGCCTTCAACACAGACCAACTGATCAATAGTTCATTAACAAACTAAGAAAGTTTTCATCAGTTTATTTTTAACTACAGTCAACTCTCTCCTAAGTAGACATCCTCAGGAATTGGAAAAAGTGTCTGGTTAAGGGAAAGTGTTATGTCAGACTCCTGTTTGTGTCAAATGAACAGACAACCAGCTTTCCTATGGACAAGTGGAGACTTGACAAAACTGATCTGCACTATTCTGTTGCTCTGTCAAAAGTCACATTTTTGTTGATTGGCAGATTCAAGACACATTCATGGGGTGTCCCCTTATGATAAAGCATTTAATAAAAGAAAAATTGAATTTTCAATTTCAAAAGTGGTCACATCTTACGAGAGAGTGTCTACTTACAGGAATGTGTAAATTCAAAGTTTGAGTGGGGGACAAAAAGGGGAATTAAAAAAAGCATAAGTAGAACTGTCAGCTTACAGGAGTGTTCATAACTGTAGAGTTGACTCAAACTTTTCTCAATACAAGCCAGAATATGAAATATGTAAACTAGCTAGCTGCAAGCAGTTTGTTTTCAGAGACTATTAACAGAAAACTTTTTCAAATCGCAGTTTAGAAAATAAATCCACCAAATAAAAACTAAAAAGTTCCATCTTCATTCAAGGTTATTACTTATTAATTAAATTTCTCATTATGAGACAGCAAAGTTGGTGTACCCTGACCGACCTCTTTCCCAACCCCATTCCTTGGAGTTCAATGTTTTTATCACAACCACATTACTTTGCAAGAGCACGAGGCCTCCTGAGTGCAAACCCCACCCCTCCCCTCCCTGAAAACTCTTGGCAACTCAGTTAAGCAGGTCTTGTTTGTTTTCAGACGGGGCTGCATGCTTATTTAATAACTTCCTCACTAGTTAGCACTTTTATGGAATAAGTACACCTTATTTAATGGTTTAACATACAAAACACATATTACTGGTATGTATTTTGTGAGTTTTGTAACATTTTCCAAGCTTTGTAGGTGGGAGGAAAAATATTAGCAATAAGAAAAATGTCTGATTTTCCACATTGCAAGGATCACACAGGGTGCATGTGAAAGGCAAAAACAGAAAAGAAGATGCATTTGATGCAAACTAGTAAATATAAGGTACAGGCTAATGATGCATCAAGGAAGGCAGAGTCAGTTCAGCCAAGAACACTATCCAACCAGTCTTCAAGATCATCTTCCCCTTTCTTTGTAAACTGGTCGGCAGATGGGTTTGTTGTCAGCAATGCACCTTTGCCAAACGATGTATCAAGCTAAATATAAACAAGAGCAAAGTCATATGTTAAAAGATTTTACTAGAAAATGCAAGTTGAGCAAATTAGTTGGGAGAAATTTGATGTCAGAAAATCCACTTATTTTAGGCAAACTTGCAGTAACTAAAGGTGATTATGGTTTATTCAAATGAGCTGATAATGAAAATTGGCCACTGTAAAGAGTTTACAAGCTTAAACATCAAGAGGTAAATAGTTTAAACAATGCTGACACACTCAGCTGTGCCTCATGTGCCACTTCTTTGTTCTTACCACAGTCATTTTGATGTCATTCATAAATAAATAAATAAATACGTTAATTGAAGCTCCCCCACAGGGAGCCTTTCAGCCACAATGTAGACTAACTGAGTGCCTAAAAATCCTCAATGGCAGGAGGCAGACCAGTGGGCTCTTTACAGAGCACAGCCGAGGAGTTGAACTAGGGGCAACCGAGGACAAATCCAGTGAGTGGCAGGGTGAAGGACTTAAACCCAGGACACCAGATTAAAAGACAGTCCAGCACCCTAACCACTCAAGCACACAGCCTCCAATTCATGAGCTAGTACTGAACAGATGCATGGCAACATACAATCACATGCTTGTCCTTTAACCTTAATCTAACCTTTTTTGATTGGCCTGCTGCAGGGCATGATGTTCCTCCATTACTATTTACTCCTGGAGTGTCCAGGGAAAGAAGGAAATCAAGGTCCTCATCTTCTTCATTGTTGCCTGATTTAATCACCTCTTCAGTTCTACCAGTCTGTGGACTATTTGCAGTATTAACATTTTTCAAAACATCTTTCAAAGAATTCTGTAAGTTTTCTGTGTTTTGAAGAGTGCCAGGCTCACTTGTGAATCCAGAATGCTTTGACAGAATTGCATCATCACCATGGCCATTCAGTGAGCCACCTGGTATTTTACAAGATTTACTTTCAGTTTTTTGGAGAGTTCTTTTTGTTTTTTCCTGTTCAGCATTTTTCGTACTGTGTGATGCTTGTAATTCTGCATGTGGAGGAGCATTTTCCAGCAAATTTCCGGCCGATGAACTTTGAGACTTGGTTATTGCGCCATCTTCACTTGATGGTGAAATGCAGTGATCTTTAGAGCATGTTTGAGCTTTTAATTGGAACATGTCAATGATATCTGGCTGAGGAACAAAAACATTTCACCAGTGCTCAAGTAAAACATCTCAAATATGGGCTAAAATTATTCATTGTGTTGAATACGATAACTATTGAGTTTTGACAGCAAACCATACTGCTAGTCTTGTTCAGGTAATAAGATCAAACTCATCAACTGAAGGAGACTGACATTAGGTATCCAAAATGTCACTATTCAGAACAGAAGTGACTCCATTTTAAGAAGGATATGTCCAGAAATGCATGCAGTGACAAAAATGGCACATATTCAGTCGTTAAAATCGTAAAATCTGCCCAGCTGATTTGCTTTGACAAGTTTGACTAAAAATTCATTAAAATTGTCGTTCCATGACAATGATTTTGCTCTGATGAATTTGACTAAAATTCACCAAAATTATCCAATTCATGACCTTTCACCTTTCATCATATCTGCCATTTTTGTTTAAATGTTACAAGGCAAACAAAAACACTTAAATAAAAATAATATCCCTACAATATCAAAACAGAATGTCAAAATTTTGCATCTTGTGCTACACATGCAACATGACATGATCCACAGTTTGCAACCTACCAGTTTTATTTTGCTTTGCCTGTTAGCTGTCTGTCACTGATGATCTAAGTTTTCCATCAACAAAATTTGTTTCTTGTCAAGTAGAACATTTTGGCTATTACAGGGCTAGAAAGTCTTTCTCCTCAAAAAATTTTGATCTTAGAGCAGCAACACTAAAAAACAAGTGCTTAAGTACTGTACCAACAAATTGTTTGCCTGGGAAATACAAAGGGAAAATTGTATGTCCTGCACATCAAGAAAAAAGATGCTTTGTGAGTATTTCAAAACAGGAAACTGTGTCAAAATACCCACATGTATTCCATCTTGTGAGATGTCTAGGCGTTTGAGTAAAGGAACACAATTTAAAGAAGTTGCCAGAGCCCCAAAATCTATCTCTAGCACTGAGGTAGCCTGAAAAATTAAGAACATTAAGACATGTTAATTAAAAATTAATAGCTACTACTCAGCATTTAAACTTTGAAGTTCTAACTTTTGCAGATTGCTCTATATCCACAAAAAGAAGTCCTCACAGAAACACACTGAAAGGAATAAAAAGCTACAAAAATGAAAGTTAGCTTTTGTTCTCAAGCAAGCCTTTTAAAGGGCTTCTTGTTGGTTTTACAGTGGAATCCCAATTTCTTGAACCTCCAGGGGAAACGCAAATTGGTTTGAGAAATTGGGAGTTTGAGAAATCAGGATCCCACTGTTTTTTAAAAAGATGACCAACTGTGATTTTTACTTAGCACCCTAATATCAGTATGAATATTCTCCCTACTGCCGTCTTCAAATTTCCTAAGGAATTGACAAGGAGAGTTTGTTCAGCAATCACAAGCTTCTTTAGTTGGAGATCATTTCCTATATATTCACATAAAAACTTGAATGTGTGATTCAAGAGTTGACCACTTGCCAAATCCTACATGCCTTGGATATTGCAAGGTTCCTATAATTTGTAAGTAAACTTTTGACTCACTTGCATTGTACCAGAGTCACCATCGCTTTCTTGCTCCCAATCTTTTTCTGACTGAAACCGAAACTGTGAAGCAGGATCAGCTGAAAGATGGTACATAAGGATTACTTAAACAATAGTGTTTCTGTCGAGGAACTATCGGCTGATAGTTGCCCCCTGGAAATTTGATGTTCTTAAAACAAATATGCTAGTTTTAAGAACACCAAATTTCCAAGGGGCAACTATCAGACCGATAGTTCCAAGACATAAACACTCTATTGTTTTTATTGTTCACCACTAAATTTTCTTCCCCGCCTACAGCTTGTCACAAATGTCAATAATTGGCAACTGTACATTGGCTAAATAATACGTTATACGTGTCAGAATTGAAAAGTCACTGTTTTTCCGATCTGCCTAACTTTGCGGCCGTCAAACTATTCAAAACTTTTCACGGATGAGTACTATCAATCCAGGTATTTTCCACGGATGGGCACTATCCATCCAGGTATTTTCTGCAGGCGGGCACTATGGGCTGATAGTGTCTCTCCAAGGATGAACACTATCATGTCACGTGATCGTTTTAAACCAATAAGAACCAGAGAAAATTTAGTGGTGAACTATAAACCCTAATATCTGTATATGCATATTCTCCATACTGTTCTCTATACATTTTTAAGGATACATGGAGAATTTGTTCAACAATCAAGAGCTTCTCTGGTGGGGGATCATTTTCCTTATTGTTTGATTCAACAATGATTCTGTTCATGATTCTAAAATATGCCAATCATCCTTAGGGATAAAAGGGTTATAGTCAATACATTGTAAAATAATTAGAATATAAACTGATTTTAGAGTTTTACCTGATCTTTGAAGGAGGACATTGAAGTCCTCTCCTCTCCTCAGGACGTTATCATTGTTATCGTCTTCATCACTTGTATCTGAAATAAAATGACGTTTGACCCCTGATATTTCTGCCAAAATCAGTTTAATCCTTTTACTCTCCAGATCTGATTGTCAATTCTCCCCACTAGCTGTGAGACATACTTGTATCCTCTCTGGTAAATTAGTTTAATATGAGAATTTGACTGTAGATCAAGATAATAACTTGTACCTGATGAGTTTGAGTATTCTCAGTACTTTTTTGCTGGAAAAAGTATGGATATTATAGGGGAAAGTTACATTCTGATCGATCACATCTGGGAGTTAAAGGGTTAGCAGTATGAACTCTGATATGACTCGTCACCTTAGAGCCTTATGTTCATGTGATCACATGTCATTTGTAATGTGATGACCTTTGATATTCCTTACATGACAACTGTCTCACGTGGTTATCAAATATAGTACAGACAGTCTTGTGTTAATTAAGAGGAGAATGTATAACCCCATACGATTCTAATGCCAACACAGATAAATGAGGTGGTCATAAGTGCTAGAGTTTTTGTGTAGTCTTTCCTAACAGATCGCTATGAGACACCTCATAGGGTCTTCTGGATGTCAATGTGTGACCTCAAGTGGCATCTGTGAAACCCATGTTCAGAATCTAATGTTTAAACTAATAAGTAACTCACCTTGTTCAAGGTCTTCATATCTTTCCCAGTTGCTTGAGATATTTCTCCTTGAGAACTGCCTCTGATCTCCCCAAAGCATAAAAAAATATATATAGTAAAAAATATGTATATAATAAAAATATATATATTAATACTTCAAATAATATCACAGTATTAAACATATAATTATCCTAGACATTGATTAATTTGAAATTCAGTACCCAGACTACCCAGACCAGTTTATTACCCCACTAGTTTCAGCTAGATCGTAGTTTCCTTGCGACTCTGTGGATTCTTTTCCTTCATTATTTTCCTTAGAGGTTGTCTTCTTTTGGGAAATTCCGTGTTTTTTCTTGTATTGAGCGCGCTGTTTCTTCTTGTGTTCGTCTGGTCTCATCTTGAAATGAACGTGCGGAATATAGTTCCAGCGGAGTCACGCATTGCTTATGCGCTGTAAATCACACAAATCGAAAATGGCAGACGAAGGGTAAGAGATTCCTTATGTAATTTGTTTCATTCTGTTTGGAAAATGGTGCGAAGTCGCCTTCAGAAGGAAGTACTCTCTTTGTACCGAAGATTTCTACGTGCAAGCAAAGACAAACCTGGTTTTACAGACCACATAAAATACGAGTTTCGAAAAAACTCTGGGATACCAAGGACGGACGGTCTTCGAATTGAGTACTTGTTGAGAAGGGCACAGAATCAGCTCAAGCAACTTGAAAAAATGGAATGTAAATCGATGGGATTTTTCGCACAGCATGAAGATAACCAGGGGTGATTTGAAAGCAATTACCTTTTCGTCTGGAAAGTTTAACTCCTGTAGAGTAGAGTAGACATCTCTATTTTATTTATACAGGATAAGAATAAGATGATATTGCATCATAATCTACTTCAGAAGAGACAGACACTAGATTCATCATCGAAGCCACTGCGGGAAAGAACCCGAGAATTGGCAGGCTGGGCATGATTTTGAAAGAGACGACGTTGATATTTATTTTTCAGCGAGTGGAGGAACAAACAGTGACGGGTTATTTACCAGTAAATGCATTGCTAATCTAAAAGATGGGTATCTCGTGGTGGTTTCAGATCTTTTCGTCCAAGAGTCTTCGTCCGAAAGTCTTTTAGTCCAAGTCTTTTTGTCCAAAAGTATTTTCACCCATGTCTGTTCGTTTACTTGTTAAGTCTTTTCTCGAAGCAAATAAATAACTATTATATTATATTATATCATAGATAAGGCTATATAAAGAACTTATCAGTGTGAGCCGTTGCCCTTTTGGTTCACCAATCTTCGTTTTATGAATTCAACGTCATGAATTTAATACAGAGAGAACGAATGAAGTTGTAACGCAATATATTTTATTAAATAGTAGCAAAAATAAAGACTTGCTTGCCGTTTAATTATTTCACGTGAAAGAAATGGGAATATTAGGCTTGTTGTTAAGCGTCTGTTGAGCGTAAAAGGCAACGAAGTGTAACATCACTACGTGTCCGACATAGCCAAATGGCGGCGGCTCACAACAAGTTCTTTAAATAGCCTTATCTTGTGGAATCTGGTGACTAGTAGTCTAGACCGCAATGTTATTAACCTGCGGTGTGCGTTCGGCAAATGCGCAGAAACATTTAAAAAAAACATGTGCTCGAGTGCATGAGAGAACCGCCATGTCGAAACTTGTACTCGCTATTTACTGGTTGTGTTGTTTACTAAGCGTGACCGCCCCGTTTTATTCTGTCACTGTTAGAAGTTTCTGATTAAGTATTCGTTGATTAAAGTCGATTAATTCAGTCTTGTGGTTTACGTATATCAAGCCTTCTAAAAGTTATTTATTTGCTTCGAGAAAAGACTTAACAAGTAAACGAACAGACTTTGGTGAAAATACTTTTGGACGAAGAGACTTGGATGAAGAGACTTTGGACGAAAAGACCGTAATTCCTCGTGGTTTCGCCCCTTTGTGAGTTCCCCCCAACCGCCGGTGCCCACAAACCTTAAAACCTGTTGCTCATTTTTTTATAAAGCAACTTTTAGACCTATATTAAATGAAAATGTTTCTGGTCTCTCGTTGTTGTCTTGCCTTTCAAAATACATTTTAATTCTAAATGCGTTTATCGGGAGTGGTGTGAAATTTTTGACGATGGGCTGGCATCCGGTGCTAGTCAGTGGGCTCTAGTGCAAATTTTTTCATGTTTTCCATAGATAAAAAAAGATGATCGAATACCTGCTTGTCTTTTGCTTGTTTATTGTGATCATTGGTTTTTAGAGTCACCAAAGGGGTACCTCGATGGATAGGTTGAGCGGTTCGGTTAGTCGGGACCTATCGCGGCTATTTTGGTCACTGTATTGTAAGCTTGGTGTGGTCAGGAAAAAATTGGTTATGACAAATGTCAGTGGAAAATGTTTCCTTTTGCGATAGCAGCAGGATTATCATTTCTCAATCGTTGGTAGTCTTGGTCCTTAAGACTCGAACCGTCGTAGTGGCGGTGAACCTTGAGCCCTATCTGTTTTTATCGTTCCCTGCTGAGTGACAGTGACGCCATCATTACCTTGTAAATCCTTGGGGTCAGTTTATCAAAATGGTTGATATCAGTCTGAAGATACTTGGGGCTGACATTGTCCGAAGTGGTATCGTAAAGATACCCCGACCCATCTGCCCGCACAGTTTAGGGACTCAAACGGGCTCAATTGACAAAGCTTCTGGTGCGTTCTGTGCGTGCCTCTTTGGAGGGATCGGGCCTAGTCATCCTGGCAAGGGAACCCATTTTCTCCCATTTGTTTCGAACGTCAATCGTGGCCTCAAGCATGACTTCCAAAGGGGTGTTTCCCTAATTAAATGTTTGGGAGACACTTTTTAACTTCTCTCTTTTTTTTTAATGTCTTTGAACTCGACAAGAGCAGAGTTTTTCATCAGAGAACTTGTTGTAAAAGGGAATAGAGTTCTAAGGGTTATTTGCTATGGATAATTTACTCAGTAAATGTTTTGCAGGTTTCTTAACATGTAGTAACCGTTCCTAGCAATGCTTAATACCATAGGTAACTGTGGATGTAGCAACTAAATCAACTACCGGAAAAACACCGTAGGATATACTGAACCGCACGGAAATTCCGTCCTAGCTTTCTAGTCATACAGACAAAGATAACAAAAATATGGAACGATACAAAAAAAATTAAAGAGAAATCTTAAGAAAAACTACAAACTAAAACCTCATCGATGAATCTCTATGCAATTCCAAAGCAACTATCGGTAACAGTTTCTTTGGAAACTATCAACCTTAGGTAAAACAACTAAATAACGTCGAGTATAAGGGTGAAACTTCGATTTCTATTTATGGCAATTCGGAACTCAGTTCATACAACATTGCTTCACAATCATTCTCTTTGATTTCGATTCTCTTTTAGACCAGTTTGTTCGCGCCATTAAGATTTATTACACAAACCCATTTCTTTTCTAATCAATGAAGCGTACTGTAGGCCATATAGAAAATAACACTTCAATCAGCAGGGCTGTCCGCCGCATCCTAGAAGAACGAAAGACCCCCTTAAGATGGAAGGAACCGCGCGAAAATAGACAAAACCATTCTAAAACGAATGTCTTAATGGAGTGAAGCGTTAGCTGTAGAACGGCAAATAAAATTAGCCGTTAAGCGTAAAATTTGACATATTTTAACCTTAAGTCATAAAACAAGTTTACTGTAAACATTTTCCTTTGTAACCGTAAGGGAAATAAAAATATTTAAATTTCAACAGTTTTCCGTAAAAGCCATAACCCTATTCAGGGCCTCCAAAACGAAGTACATGGAAAGTGTCCGACATTTGATATATACCGACGATGGTGGACGGAAATGTCCAAATCGATCGGTCTTAAGTGTTTGAAATCGAATATAAAAATCCTAAATCAAATGATGATGTTCAAATCGCGCGAACAAAAACAGGACAAAACACCGGAAAAAAAAGACCGTGAAAATTACCGAAACCTACTTTTTAAAATTGTACTTTTTATTAGTTTTAACCCGTCACCTTCACTATTTATTGTGTTATTCTTACATGAATAATCGAGAGGTTGTTACTGATATTGTTCCGATAAATCTCTTCTTGAATTGAAATTGATTATGGCCGAATAAATGGTTGTTCAAGCTTGAAAGCCCTTCCATTGTTTAAAATCTGGACAGATAAGTACGGGAAATTGAAATAATTAGAAGCACTATGAACCTGAAAAACTTACGATCCGCTAGAGCTGTCCCAGTCTTATTATATGAGAAAAGGAACGACAATTTTGCGTGAGGTTTATAAAAGACTTTGATGAAAGGTAAAACAGGCGTGAATGAACTGTTTCTCCAAGAAATGGCTGTACAATTAGGACCAGGCATTAGCGAACAAACAGTGCATTGTCATTGGTAGAAAACTGATAAAGAAATATGCATTACTGACACACACCAATAAATTATTTGCGCGATGCTATTAACTGCCATTGTTGTGATCACAAGTAATCACAAATACTCTGATGTGTTTGTGAAAGACAGGATTTCGCTCAAATGAGTACTAACGACTTTGACTGTGGAAGTCGATGTTTCATTTTCCCCTCCACTTCTCAAGTCAAAATGCAGTGCCCAAAGGAAAACTAGAGAAGCTGAGCTTTGCGTAGTTTAAAAAGGTAAAGAAATGTACATTTTTTTATTACAGGCGTGAAAGAATAGCAGTTACTTACATACATATATACATACATACATACATACATACATACATACATACATGCATACATACATACATATACTTTTTTTAATTTCGAATTTGGAGTAGCTAGAAGATAAGCTAGTATCTTCGAGTTACAAGTATAATTCTGAATACTACTAAAATGTAAAATGTAAATTGTAAAATTGTAACATTCTACAACTTAGCTATGAGAAAGAGTCATACTGTAAAATCTTGCGCTTGAAATCAGAAAAGTCAGACGTTCTAAAAGAGTCCGGAAGAGAGTTCCATAGTTTTGAAGCCATTATGAAAAGGAGTGAAGACCATAAGTAGTAGTCTTTGTAGACGGTAGAGACAAAATGTAACTTCCGCGTAGACTATAGGATACAGACCGGAAACTAAACATATTCCTTAGATAAATTAGATAAATTATAGCTCCCATCGTCAAAACTTTACCATTATATATTAAAGACAGCCAACACGCTCTTCAAATTTTTCGCGACTTTAATTTCTTTGGCCAAAACAAACTTCTTTTCATGATGGATATTATGTCTCTTTACACTGTCATTCCTAATGGCGAAGGTCTTCTGG